TCATATGATATCATATAAAATTCGTTACACAAAGTTGATCTACAATCTATTTTATATGAAATTGGAAATTTGTACACTCTACCCTTAAAAGATCATTTAAATTTTAACAACAAATAATTCTCGATTACTGTATGATTGGCTAATTTTAGGATCAAACAAAATTGGCCGATATGTGCTAGGTTATACATGTTGCTAATTTTTTAAAGTTTATTAATGTTAAGATTAGCATTTTGTATAAAGTTAAAAGCTAAGTAGTTATATAGTAAAATCGCACAAGAAAACTTTTTGTTAGTGATTTACTATGCAGATTTTTGCGATTTTTGGCAAAACGAATGTTTGTTTTGATTATGCTACGTTACATCTAATTCCATAACTAAGTACAGATTTTTTGAATGCATTAGAGTTCGTTATCCAAGTATCCGATCTGTAAATGGATGGAAAAATAATTGACGATTGAAAAAATTTTGCCGATTTAATACTTTTGGGTGGCCCGTGTTGTTGAAGTTTCAGTTACACAAATACGATTAAGTTTATTGATAATAACGATTTAAACTTTAAAGGGATTTTGCAATGCTAATGATACAAAAAAATCGTAATCAAAAAGTTTGATAGTTTTAAACTTGATTTGTAAAGTTTAAATGCAATATTTAAATAATGTTAAATCAATATTTTTTCAAAGACATTGCATGAACAAATCTTTATCTCTTGCAAGTTTCGTGACTTGCAGTCTGTTAAAATTGATCTTGTGTTACGAAAATATATGCGTTCAATCAGAACACAACTTATATAATGTCATTTGACCTGCTCGTGAATGTCGCGTGTGAAGCCGCGAGCCAAAGAGCAAACGAAGTTTTTGTGGTAGAAGAAGTTTGTTTTTCAGAGCATAAACTTTTGTTCAACAATGATATTCGTGGTGAAAGCTTGGCAAATATTGGGCGGCCACGTGTATGGTCTCAGGTACTGTTTCATATGCTATTAAATGATAAAATTACAATAGCATGCGTTTTATTGTTTATTTTCATTAAGACACGTCAAGAGCTATGCGAAAGCGTCCCATATTTTCGTAATTGGCAGTCTGGGGTATATTTCAAAGAAGGAGTAACTTATGGTTACCTTGTTGATGGATACGGCGCGATGCGCGATGTTTGTAATGGTCGCGTAATTATTTCTCATGGGCAAGTAATCATAAGATTCTTGGCGTTGTCAACATTTAAGTATTGAACAACGAATGAATTATCGCATTGATTTCGCGTGTTCGTATTAGAAACATTGTAATTTGCTTACAGTTTTAATGAATTACAGTGGCGGAAAATCATGTAGACGCCAGGATGGAAGTTTCGGCCTTTTTGCCTCTCAGCTCTTGACCGATGCATCTGTATCTGCGTTAATCAAAAATTATATTAATAAACAACCGTTGGCAATGATTGTCGGAAATAAAAAGAATGCAGAGTTTAGAGTTCCGGCCCGCTACTGTGTGATGGGGTGAGTTGAGCAGTGTATATATTTTATATTTTATGATTTGTATTAATATCATGCATT